TTGAAGGCATCAAAGTCCAGCTCATGGATCCAATTATAGCTGAGGTCCAGCCATTGCAAATGGGGCATGTTGCCAAACACATCACGAGTTGTGTTCTAAAAAGGATAATTTATCAGTAAATCATAATAAAATCTACGATAATTTTCTACACACCATCAGAGAATTGTAGCCCAAATGCAAGTGTGTCAGTGAAATCTCAGCAGGTCGGAAGTATCCAGGATGAATAATGGATATGTTGTTGTGGGAGAGATCCAATATCTTAATGTTCGAGTGGTACATGCCGCCTGAAAAATAGAGTTCATTACTACTCCTTCCCTATATATAATATTACCCAATCCCTACCATGTTCATTTCGTCCACTCCATGAGGAATTGTACATCAATTGCCTGATTTGATTGTGGCTCACATTCACATTTAGATTGGACAGCGTTCCCACCTGATCGAAGTAATCAAAGTTAAAGTTGGGCAGCTGATTGAAAGCCATATCCAGGATCTCCAATTTGGGCAGGTTCTGGAAGGACTCGTCGGCCAGGTTGTTCATCTTGTTGCCCCTTAAACTGAGATACTCCAGTTCGTCCAGGTTCATGAAGGCCCTCCTCTCGATCTTGTCAATCTTATTGTCATCCAGTTGCAGTTTCCTCAAGGCTTCCAGATCGAAGAAGGTGTGCTGCGAAACGGATGTCAGGTGGTTGAAGCGCAGCGAGATCTCCTCCAGCTTCGAATGGATGTCGCCTTGGAAGGTGCCCTTTAGCACCTGTTCAATTCTATTGTCATGAAGCTCCAGCAGACGCAAATTCTTCAGGAAATGGAAACTGGTGTCACTCATGCTACTGATGTGGTTGTTGCTAAAGTCCAGCTCCTGCAGGGAAGTCAAGTGTCTGAGGGGCTCAGCGGGCAGAGCACTGCCCGAGTAGCCATGGGACATCTTCAGGGAGATCAGAGAGTGACCAATCTATAAAGAAAATATTTTATAATAAGAAAGGAACATCAAAACATCAAGAATTCCCATAAATACCTCATGGAAGGCATCGTTTTCAATGCTGGATATTCCATTCTCGCTAAAGTCCAGCCTCTTGAGTCCTCTCACATGCTTGAAGGCATGCGATTGTATCCCCGATAGACTGGCCCTGGTGATCTGCAGATCCTCCAGTTCCACGCCAAAGTCCTTGAAGTCCTCGGGTCCCACGGCGGAGGATCCCAGGCGGGAGATCGACAGCGATCGCATGTTCCGCATTCTGGTCATACTTTTGGTAAATAAATACAAGAGTGGTTCTGGGTTGAGGGGTGTGTGGGGAGCAGGGTTTTTTCTCAGTGCACTGGGTTCACTTACTTGCGAAGGGTCTGCAGATTGGTGGGATCATTGCGGTCGCCGCTGAGGTCAAGTTTCAAAAGGGTATAGTGAACCGCATTGAAGGTCTCCGTGGGCTTCTGGATCTTGATCTTGTTGTCCCGCATGCTGATGACTCTATAATAAAGAATATAAAGAATATAAAATCGATTTGTATTTAGTTATTCAAGATTTTCCCCCAGTGTCGTCTGTTTTTGCATGATTGCCTGGTTGCGCGGCTTTTCCCTCGTTCTCAAATTCTTTCAAATAGGGTCACCCACTTGGCAACTGGAGAAGCCCTAGAGGCTGCCGCCAATCCGATTAGTTCCCCCCGCAAATAGACAATACTTACAAGTGGAATATAGGGGTAGGAAACCGAGTGGAGCGGAGTGCAGGTGCTCGACTCACCTCAAGACATCGAAATTGTTGAAGAGCTTGTGATGCAGCTTGGTGAGATTGTTGCCAGACAGGTCCAGGATCTGGAGGCTGTTCACCAGGCTGTCAAAGGCCACAGGCGAGATGTTGGTAAGGCCGCAGTACCGCATGTAAATCTCCCTAATGCGAGCCGGTTTAAAGGCATCTTCCTGAAAATAATGGTAGATGAGGGAAATAACAAAAAATATTATAAAATAAAATATTCAGTATTAAATATTGCAGTAATAAAAATTTCTGAAAGGGATGAAAAGAAGATTAATATTTTAGCATATATGCACAGAAAAAATATTCGATATTAAATATGGTAAATTCTTCTAAAATAATTTTATATCAATAATATTCAAACATTGCAACTTGATATTTTATCATATCATATTAAATACCAAATGTAGTATTTTTTTAACAAGTAATGTAAATGATAATTTGTTCATATCAAAATAACATGAATATCTTGATCTTAAAAAAATATAAAATTGACCAGCACATATCATTCTGATCTTTTGTCAATATTTTTTCTGTGTGGTCATAATTCTAATCAAATGGAATGCACATATCCAATAAAATATTATATATTATTATTGTTATAACTACAAAGAGGGAAATTTCTTTAGATCTAGCATACCTACCCTCAGTGTGTGAATAGGATTGCCATCGAAGAAGGTGCGATTGACGGTATCAAAGTACTTGAACGAATTGGGAGGCAGCATCTCGATGTGGTTGTACTCCAGGTGCAGATTGTCCAGATTCAGCTTGGTGCTGGCCTTGATCTCGTAGGTCTCGTTGCCGCTGAGTGACCAGATCACGTTGTGGGAGATGTCCAGGGTGCGGAGGCTCTTCAGCGGGCCCAGGGCGTCGTAGGGGATCTCCGAGAGGATATTATCCGTGAGCAGAAGACGCGTCAGTCGCGGCATTCCATCGACAAACACATTCGGATCGATCTCAAAGAGGTTATTCCCACTCAGGTCGAGCGTCTCCAGGATCAGGAGTCCCGTGAAACTGTGCGACATTAGCTGCGAGATGCAGTTCTCGCGCAGGATCAGCGTCTGCAGCGAGTCCTCCAGGCCGCGGAACGAGTCGTGCTGGATGTGCGTTATGTGGTTGTAGCCCAGGTCCAAATGGCGCAGCTTCTGCAGGTGCCTCAGCGACTTGGAGGGGATCTCCACCAGGTCGTTCTGCGGCAGGATCAGCTCCCACAGCGATCGCTCCAGTCCAGTGAAGGCGTCGTCTGGGATCTCGGTGAGATGGTTGCCGGATATCTTCAGCCGGTAAATGCCCGTGGACTGCAGGAAGTATGGTTCTATTTCGCGCAGACCCGTGTTCTCCATGTTGAGGCTGAAAACCTGAACCAAAGAATGAATTACGTAAAAAAAAATTAATTAATAATTAAACTCTCTTTAAAATTAATTTTTAAACAGTCAAAAATATTCCTGTGTGATTTTAAAGCTTGAATATATTAAGGCCCTTTTTTTCATTCGCCTCTTAAATTTAAAGTGGGCAATTAGAGTTTAAAACCTACATGAATTTTAAAAGGTGAACGAGAAAACGGCCCTAAGAGAATTATAACTTAGCTTATATTTTTAATTTTTTAAAGTTTCAAGTAAAATAACCTTCACTCAAATTAATCTCCAGAGATATCCTTTTTATTTCACTCACCTTCGACTGGTTCACCATGCGCGGCAGTGCCGGGAACGGAACATTCTTGCAGTGCACTATCCCCAGATCCGTGGAGGACTTGGAGCAGGTGCACATCACGTTATACGTGCAGGGCGGATAGTGCGTCTCCTCCATTTCACGGGCGAACATCGAGGCTCGGGCCAGCGACATCCAGATCATGATCATAAGGGTTATGGTCAGAAAGGCATAGCCAAACTTGAAGAAGAACTCGAGGCCCTAGAGCAAAGAAGGATAATTTAATCCAAGATAAAGAAATGGATCTGAATAAACATTGACAAGATATCCCAAAAACTTCCAAAAATATTATTTCCAATAATCCAAAAAAAAATGTTTTGGAAGGATACTTTTTAAAGAATTTTTAAAAACATTTTTATTACGAAAAATTTATTATTATTTTGAAACTTTTGGCGAAAGAACCTAAATCATTTAATTATTCTGAAAAAGATTATGGAAATGTCATCGAACTGCATCGCAGGACATGCAACTTTGTAGTTTCAACTTGTCTTTTTAAGCCTGTCAAGAGTTTACAGTTTCTCGAAGTGGAGTTAAAAAGTCCCTGACGATTTCTTGGCAAAGAGATTAACTGCAGTGTCTGGGAAAGTTTCCTAGGATGGGTTCAGGTTCAGGGGTGACTAGACCAAAAGGGGTATCTTCGTTTCACAGGACTTAAATCCGTCGGCCGACTAGGGTTTCTTTTTTTTGCACTTCAAGGGCTACTCGCACAGATTATCGAATGTCCTTTTGGCCATTTAAATAGCTATTTATAATCCTAATTTAGTTTGGCAGGATATCAGACGATTTCGTTGGCTCATACACACCATTTTGCTGTTAATTAGATTAGGCACTCGAGGTAATTAGCGTTTAGAACGAACTTAATTTGATTTACACTCTGAATGTCCACGGTTCACTTGGTCAACTTGATTTCCAGCTCACTTGGAGCTATGTTCCCTGTCCAGGACACTCGCGTAAAGATCCTGGCTTAAATTTCCGTTCGTTTCGTTCAGGGTAACAGGGCTGGTAGAAAACACGTCCGAACCGCTGCGCGTTCCACGCACGTCTGACAAAATGCAAATCAATCAGCAACGGGCCAAGTATTCAGTTTTCAGTGCTTGGCCAACTGGCGCAGCCGGCTAATTGGATTGTAACATATCGGGAATGCTCGATGGCGCCGCCTTCACGCTCTCCTTGCCTCATTTTGCAGCATTACTTCGGTGGCGGAATGGCAGAGTGTCCTAACCTTTGTTTAGAATATGGCCAGCAAGAAAAATACGGCGATAAAAGTGCGAGCTGAGCGGAAGCGGATTTCGGCCAGGTTTTCAAGATTTCCAATGCACGGCAACAGCCTCTGGGTCGGCTTAAAACTTGTACGAGTTCGTTTAACATGATTTCGGTGTGCACTGCTGCCTTTTTTGGGGGTTCGTGATGGGAACGCGTTGAAAGGCGTGTACAACAAGCTTGCAAACAATTGAATTGGGGTACAAAAGGATGGATTATAGTTGATATTAACCATTACCAAAAGTATTTCGGCTTTGACAGTGCAGAATGTGCATTTAAAATGAAGCATTTAATTGAAATAATTTAATAGTTTATATCTATCTCAAAAGATTACAAACTAAAGGGCTTTATAGGTTAGATTTTAAACATGACAAGCTTTACAAAATAAAACAGGCCCCTTTGCACATTCTTGCTACTCTTAAATATGCCTAACATTTTACGCGAATAATAAATGTACAATTTTATATCACTAAAAAGAGCTGCTTTACTTAAGAGAGCGTATCTTGCGATAAAGCCAAGAATGATAGGTGCGCTCCTTGACCATCTCTTTATCTGCAAATATGAAATTAGAAAATAATTATTAGTTAATCATAAAAGGAAAAGGACAACCCACCATCGCACTGAAAGCACTGAGCCAAGTTGGGCGGACAAATATTCTCCGAGTTGAAATAGAAGGTGGTCTTCAGCTCACGGAACTTGTTGTACGAACGCATGGTGATGTTTCGGGAGTAGGGATCCTTGCCATCCAAGTGATCACTCACGTAGTGAGCGGACAGGCGAATGTCCATCACATCGCTGAGCTGATCATCGATGGAATCCACCAATTTAAGGGGTTTCTTGAGCAGCTCAGAACACACATCGTTGTAGACTGCCAAACATAAATAGGTTATTAATTTAAATTATTATATTAAAGTAGCCCATTTTCAGCCCCACCATTGGACAGATTCAGGTGAATGTGCATCATCAGCAGGTGCTCCAGGGTGCAGTGGATCTGGAACAGCTTGGAGACCCGCTCCGTGCTCTCCTGCTCGTCAAAGTGGCTGTTTTTAAACCCAGCATCGTCGTCGTCGCCGGCATACTTGGCATTCCCCGACTTCGCAGCGCCGTTGTGATGCAGCAGCGTCTTTCGCATTCCTGCTCCCGGCGTCGGATCCCCTCGGACCGCATTATGCAAGGATTTTCGCAGCTGGGGCAGATTCTGCGGCGAGCCATCCTCGTTCGCCGCCTCGCCGGAGTCCTCCTTCAGCAGATTGGTGCTGCACAGCTTGCTCTCCGTGTAGATGAACTCGTAGTCCTTGTACAGCTTCTCCAGGCCAATCTCCAGCAGCAGTTCCAGCGGCTCGGCGCCACTCAGGCAGGGCATGGCCAGTCGTCGATTGGCCAACTCGGTGATGATCTTGGCCAGGCGGTTCTTGTTGGTCGGCGTGTTCTAGGTAGGTTACAGAAAGTGAGTTAGATAATATATTGAGAACAAGAACAAGCTTATATACCCTTGAAGATAATTCCTTTTGACTTACAAAAACATTAAATTTTGATTTACTTGCTTATATGTTAAATCAATCGAAATTTTAGCTGCTTTCGTATTATTTTGGCATTACTTTTTTGATCCTTCCTATGGGAGCTATATAATATAGACGTCCAAACTTGATAAATTTAGTTAGAAATTCTAAAATGTTAAAGAAAATCTGTATCCCAGTGAAGAAGAGAATGTAACAAAAATCAGCAATGATATAATTATGATATAGCGATCCGATTTTTTAAAAATTTTATTCGAAATTCAGAAATATTTAAAAAATAATATTCTTAAGAGTAGAAGGTAATATAATATTATAATAATATACTACCTGCAATAGAAAGAAGACTTTTGGGAAAGTTTCATCCCGATAGCTTTAAAACTGAGAGACTAGTTTGCGTTGAAACGGACGGACAAATGAACGGACAGACGGACATAATAAGGAAATTATAAGATCTACTTACCACGATGTTACAGCGGGCGGCGCACTGAAAGAGCATGTTGAAGGCCAACTTGAGGTCCTTGTAGGAGGCGCAGCTCTTGAGCAGCTCCCACAGCTTGTCGGTTACATCTGTGAGCCTTCGCACCTTGGCCCGCTGCACCACATCCTCGATGTCGAACTCCACTTGACCAATACTATAGCGATCTGCGAAGCCGGAGACATCGGTCATGGTTTGGTTAATGGACTCGCGCAGCTCGTCCATGTCGATGCCGCTGCCGCAGCGGTAAATGGGATCCCGGACGAGGCCCTGCCGGATGTCCCTGTGGTAGGAGACGATGTCCTCGCGCAGGAAGACCAGGATGCGCAGCTGGTTCATGAAATCCTGGGTCAACGGACTGCATTCGCCCACCCGGAAGGTGTGATTCAGCGCCACCTCGCAGTCGTTGAGGTTCACCAGCAGGGGGAGACCATTGTTGGAGCTCCAGGAGCAGCGCAGCCGCATGTGCGGATTCACCTGGTAGCTGTTCTCGATCAGCGTTTCCTGCGGCGCCTTTCCATGCTGACGGACGAGGGATTGCGAGGTCACCAGGTAGGCGGGCAGCACTCCCTGGTAGCTGAGGATTCCCCGCGAGAAGTGACTGGGATTGAACTCGTACTGGAGCAGCTGCGTCTGGCCGGGATCGCTGCCGTCGCACAGGAACCACACGGAGCCGAGTCCTTCGGCCAGTTGCAGAAACTCCGCGCAACAGATGGACCTGGCCTTCTCCACGGGAATTCCGCGCTGGTACTCCTCCTCCAGCTTCCAGGGATTCGACTCCTCCAGCTGCAGATCGATGGAGAGGTCGCCGATGGCGTCCACCAGGCAGTCGTCCTTCAGCGGACTCCCCGTGAGATCCAAATCGGTGGGACTCTCCCTTTTTGGCGGAGTTGTGGTCCTGAATTTGGCTGAAACACCACTGCGATCCTCCTTGAAAACCAGCACAATCTTTTTGCCTGCCTCCGCCGCTCCCACCGTGCTCACCAAATAGCTAGGCGGTGCTCCATAGGTAATTGTGTAGGATTCGCCGCAGCGGCGCATCAGCTCCGCGTAAACATTCGCCAAATTCGCGGTAGACGACATTTTAAAACTCGCGTCGCAAAACCAAAAAAAAGCGGCAGTGTTTCAAAATCCAATTCGCAATTAGAGGTGGCCTAGGAAGTAATCGATAGGTGGGTTGGTGTCACTGCTAAGTTATCATTAACTAATATCGAAGAAGAAGACATTCCTATCGATAGGCAGTCCCCGCACGTGTTGAAATTGTTTTCTTTTTATTTAACGCTCCTTTAATTTAGCTAATTTAAGCATGTCGGACTTTGAAATGGAGGACAGTGCCTCGGGCTACGACTCGGGTGATAACTCAGACGCGGAGGTGAGTGGAGAACTGAGGAAATAATGACTGTTTATAACGATTATCCCACTTTATATGGGCAGCTCCAAGCGGCTTTCGAGAGAGGCGACCTGAAACCAGGTCTAAATGTGGAGTTTAATGGGCAAAGAGACAAAGTAAATGATGTGGTAGGTAGTTTTATAAATACCTGATACTCTAAGCCACTAACATATGAAATCCCCCTTAAACAGACCAAACTGCTGGCCAAAACAGAGGCCATTCGCCTGCAGCTCCCTTGGCTGGAGCGCCTGGACATGGTCAACTCACTGGCTCCTTTGGCCCCAGAACTCGCTGTTCAGCTGGAGAAGCACGAGCAGAAGCGCGCTAATCTGTTCAAGGGCAACGCCAAGCTGCCCTACATTCGCCCCGAGGAGGATCCAGTTTTAAATGATTTCAAGCGCGAGATGCTCTTCCATCGGCAGGCACAGAGCGCTGTGCTCGAGGCCATTCCCCGCCTGCACGAGCTGGGCATCAAAACCCGCCGTCCTGACGACTACTTCGCCGAAATGGCCAAGTCCGACGAGCACATGCAGAAGGTGCGTGCCAATCTGATGGCCAAGCAGCAGGGTCAGGCCAAATCCGAGCGCATCAAGCAGATTCGCGAGCAGCGCAAGATGGGCAAGATGCTGGCCAAGCAGACCAAGGTGCAGCGCGAGGCCGAGAAGAAGGACATGTTGGACAAACTCAAGAAGTTCCGCAAGGGCAAGCTGAAGAACCTGGACTTCCTTGAGGACGCCAAGGCCCTGGAATCCAAGCAGAAGCAGTCCGCCGAGAACCGCAAGAAGCGCAACAAGAAGTTCGGCTTCGGCGGCAAGAAGAAGGGTCTCAAGCGGAACACCAAGTCCTCCTCCGCGGGATTGGATGGCGAGAAGTCGTCGCGGAAGCAAAGGGGTGTCAAGGCGGGCGCCTCCGTGAACAAGCGGTTGGGCAAGTCGCGGCGCATCAAGGCCAAGGGCAGAAAGTAATCTGAAGCGAGGATTGCAGACTATTCTTAGGTGACCAAACTCTAGTTTTTAAATGCCCCAATCGTGTATAGAAATTTTAGAACCATAAATACATACAGTTTTATGTGCATTTATGTTGTTTTATTAAGGGGTTTTATAAAAATAGGGTATAGAGTTTAGATTTTTCTATATACAAGGATTAAGTTAGCCGTTTTCTTTAGAAACAAACTAAAAATCTATAATTTATATTGTTTTGTAATAGTTTATCTTAGACTAGCTTAAAACTATTGTTATTCTTCCTGGTTCCTTTTCTTCTTTTTGTTTTTTATGGGGATTTCGGTTTCCTCAGTGGAATCCTCATTTTTCCGCTTCTTTTTGGACTTTACAGGTTCTTCAGTTGCTTCTAACACTTCTTGTAGCTTCTCCGCTTTTTTATCCTTCTTTCTTTTTGTCTTTACAGGCTCTTCCACTTGGTTTTCTGTATCTTCTTGGACTTCCTCTACTGACTTTTTCGTTTTATCCTTTTTCTTTTTAATCTTTACAGGTTCTTCTTGGGTTTCCTCGCTTGGAACAACCTCTTCTGATTTCTCCGCCTTGTCCATCTTTTTCTTTTTGGTTTTTAAGGGCTCCTCCAGCTGGTCAACTGCTTCCTCCTCCAAAGACGCTTCTTTCCTAGCCTTTTTCTTCTTTTTGGGCTTCTCCAGCTGCTCAACTGTATCTTCCTCTGGTTTTTGGGATACCACATTGGATTTCTGGTCGGAATCTGTTCCAGGATTAGGCCTTAGCTTGCCCTGAAGCTTCTCCAGCATCTCGCGCTCCTGCTGCTCCAAACGGGCGATCTTCCCGCTCAATTTGAGGCCATGCCGGGCTCCCTTGTGCGCCGTCCGGCCGCCGCAGGCCTTGAAGAGCTCCTCGTCGGTGAGCACCGTCACTTTGGTGACCTCGATGTCCTCCACCTTGATGCGCTCGGAGGTCTCCACCTCGCCGCCTTCCTGGGTGAGCAGCGATGTCTGCAGAAAGTTGTCGTAGGTGGCTCTTCCGTCGCTTTCGTGCTGCTCCTTGGCCCTCTTGAGTTTCCTGGCGGAGAAGCCGCTGGTGGAGATCTCCACCGCCTCCTCGCCCTGCTTCCTGGCGGTCAGCACCTTGCCATCCTGCCCGATTTGGACATCCACATTGCTGGCCGCCTCGTTGAAACATCGCTCCCACCAGTGGTCATTGAATTCCTTGGCGCGATCCACTCCCAATCCCGCGTTGTCGAACTTCAAACTGGCTTTTAGAGGAGCAGCGATGCCCGTGTTGTTCTTGCCCAGCCCGTCGCCCTCCTTCCAGCCGTATTTTCCGAGTATTTTCTTGGCAAAATCCATTTAAAAAGGCATAAAAAAGGAAAACAAACAATGCACGTGTGGCGGTAGTCGATAACGGATAAGAGTCGATATACCAGCGTAATTTTGTCATCACTAATAAGTACGACAGGGTGACCTTGGTCGATAAGTTTTGCCTATCACAGGGTGATACACCATAGAGTTGCATTTGGGCGCCAAAATTTGAAAAACTGTTATCTTAGTAGATAATATTAACTTTCAAAGAAAATCCAATTTCCCGTAACATTTTAAAGAAAAACCAACGCTCCTCTTCCTTTACACATTCATTTCTCCTTTATTTCACATTTCAGCTGCGCTATTCGGCTCTTTTCGTTAGCAACTACTACTTTTAGTACATGTTCCATAATAAATATTAAGTGGCAATATAAACAGAAAACAGCGTTTACATAAATGAAAACTGATATTTTTCGAATACAAAATACTAGAAAACAATGTGGATTTTCAGTACGCGCCACAATAAAATCGAAAGAAGTCGCTAAGCCCAACGAGATCCATCGGATTTCAGAACAGTCAATCCCAAAAACACCCGCAAATCCGAGGTGTTATTTCGCAGCAGGAATCTTCACGCTTTGCCTGCCGTTTTTCCATGTCCAAGAACTTTTTGCGGGGGGAGAGAGAGAGCCTTGGTCGGCGGACATGAAGATCCTGCGCGGGATTTGTAGAGTTATGGGATGTAACTGAACTTTTTCCGAGGATTTAACTGGGTTTCTGTTTTTATCGGTGAGCCGGAAGCTTGCTTCAATTAAAATCTAATTTTAATCTTTGTCGTCTGGGTCTCAGGTTCGAAATCCAATTGAATCCAATCCTTCCTCCTGATTTCTCGGTTGTTCAACTTAAAGTAGGTGTTCTCCTCGCTCGCATGTGTTTTTTAAAAACAAAATGTATTACATGTGGTTGTTGGTATTTATAATTAGATAGTGGTACAGGATGTTCTTGTTTGCTATCAATCAATCAATCATTTTATCATTAATAATCGAAAACGAACATGGTGTTGCTTGTTCTGGTTGTTGGTTGTTTGTTTGAAGTGTTGTTTGTTTTGCTATTCTCGTTCGCAAGCAAACCAGCAATGACGAGCAATCGATGTGCAGTGCAGGAGCGCTTAGAAGGCGAACAGCAGCAGGAAGGCCATCATCAAACAGAACAGACCCATGGCCTCGGACAGGGCGAAGCCCAGAATGGCGTAGGAGAACAGCTGCTGTTTCAGCGATGGGTTCCTGGCGTAGCCGATGATGAGGGAACCGAATACTGTTCCGATACCAGCACCTGTTGTATTGGTTTCGATCGTTGTGGGTGGGAAGAGAAAGAAAAATCAAAGAGTTAGCAAAGTTTCTATCATGATAGAAGAAAGAGTGATGATTTGGTATGGGATTAGATAGGATTTCTCCAGTTAGTCAGTCACAGATTAGTCTGAATTGAGTTCTGCCTCGAGAGGCAGCCAGCACATCGCACTAAAAACGCTGGCCACGAAAGATTTCAATGCCTGGCCAAGGCGGCGGCTCCTTAAAAAGCAGCGGCAACGCCAAGGCGGCAGGATTTCTGGTACTTTCGCCCTGCAATCACACAGGTTTCCTGCTGGGAAATGAAGCCGCAACAAACAGCAGGCTTTGGCCAATTCTCAGACCTTCCCGGGGCAATAATTTAGAGAGTAATTAGATACTCGTTGTGTGGGCCCCAGATGCTAGTTTGCAACTGACTGGAGGAGAAGGAGGATGAATGATCTTTAACCCAACGAAACCAATACGAACCGGATCCAGCGACACCGACTGTTGCGGCACCAGCGCCAATGAATTTGGCAGCCGAGTCAATGTCACGCGTGACTGGCGAGGTCTGGAATGACCTGATCTGTGGCAGCAATGCAACTGGGGTTGTGTTCGCAGCGGCCAAAGTCTGGCTCTGGCTGATGACGGCGCTGCTCAATGGTCGCAGGTACTGCTTGGAGTTGGCGAGGAGCTGAAAAGGTTGGGAAAATGCGTTGGTTATTATTATATAAGAAAATCTTATGTGGCGTGCGTTGCTTGAGATAAAGTTTCAGGGCAGAGATAAGGGTTAAACTATATCAAAAGCTCAGAACATAGAATAGATATTAAAAAATATTGTTTTTTACTAATTGTTAACAATGAAATTAAAAATGTATATTTTTTCTAAAGACCCTAGTTGATAAACAATAAACACACATGTTTACGAACTCGTTGATAAGTGAATAAATGCAAAATATTAAGATAATATAGAAATTCCTCTACATGATACAAGTATATACCATTTAGGGATGATCCTAACTCTTGGTAATTCAGTTGCTAGGGCTTTTAAAGCCCATATATAGAAAGATCTTGCCAAATACACTATAGTTTGGCCCAAGTTCATTGCTCTGCTGTAATTGCCAAGTTATGCAATCGTTAAGTAATTTCTATGGGATTGGCACTTTGGCTGCAGCATTTGTTGTTCTTGTGTGCTTCTACATCTGATAATTACAAGTAATCATATAGGTTTATCATCTTTATAAACAATGTCAATTATTGGCATTTTTGAACGCCCCGCACTCCCCTCTCTCTGTTTTCACCTCACCCACTGGAAAGCTTTCGCCGGTTCTAACCTCAAAGAATCACATCAAATGGTTCAAGTGTTATACAATGATTTGCGATGGCTAGTTTGGAGAAATAGAAGTTAAATCCCCGACTTTGCACTAATATAGCACGATTGTTCCGATTTATTCGCCTTTAATTAATCGCCTCCACTGGGCGCACACATAACCTCAAAGTTATGCAACTGTGTGCCGTATGTGTTTTCTCACCGCGGCCATTGGAAGTTCACCACGCCAAGGCGGCATGTAAATGGTTAATTCGGGAAAATCAATGCACTTTTTTTCCGATTCGATTATTATGTAATCTCTGTAAACTTTATCTCGCACAATTGGGGATAGCAAATCCCAAAAAATGGGGTACTTACGGCGCTCCTGGCAACGGGGGCAATGCGAGAGACTGTCGACACGAACATTTTCGGTTGATTTTCCTTTTTTTGTTTGGCTTACGACAAAATTGAAGCTAGCGCACGGCTCTGCAAAAGATATAGACGGATATCGGATTAGTTTTGGGATCATAGATCATATCATATCATTTCCCACACGCCGCCTCAGAAAAGGTTACGTAACAGGCGAAAAATCTGCCTTCGCACCGGATTTTCACTCGATTCGCCGATCGATCTTCGCCAGTTTTTCAGTTAAAAGCGATTTACTATTCAATTTCCTAGAGAAAACTGCAGTTTTTCCGACTTTTCCAGTGACGCAACGACTCGAGACACACACGCACACCACTGCAAACGGGCACATGCCCGCGTGTGTGTGAGTGTGCCGCAAGATGGCGACGGATTATCAAACACGTTTCGCATTCCATTGGCGAAAATTCACTCGATTCTGCACTGATAGTCGGCTTTTCCGCGGTTCTCTGTCAGTTCTGAGGCGTTTTCCGTTTTCCACGGCTGTTACCCAACAACCGATAAGGGGTGCTCCGCCGGACGGGGGGCAGGGGGAAAGCAGCCCCGGAGAAAGCAACTCACTTCGAACAAACCCTTCACAACAGTAAAACGAATTTGACAATTTCGCTGTCTTTTGGGGGTGCCCAGTGTGGCCGCTGGTGGGTGGTGGGAAAAACGCCGGCGGCGGAATTAAATACTGGAAAATACCATTTTTATCGGAGTTCCTATCCATGGTGTGGAACTTTGACTGGTTTTAGCAGTGACACAAGCCAGAAAACCAGGGCTGGCACCCCCTTTTAACCTTCATACACTTGAAAAAACACAGAAACTATTTGAAAATAAATCAATATGACTTGACTATTTTGAGAATTTTGCTGACTTATGGGTGTGGGTGCTAATGGAGAAGAGGAAAAACATAAGCGAGTTTTTATTAGAGAACCGACTCTTATATTTCTGAAAGTTTAACGATCAACCTATGAAATATCTTAAACGGAATGGATCGATTTCAATCCTTTTAAAGTATACATATGCGATCCTTTTTTGGAAAAACACACTTTTAGCAAAAAACCTTAAAACTTATTTTTAGCAAAAATCCAGATCGTTATTTTAGGGCAAAATAATCAGTATTTTGCCTGAGACAATGGATAATAGTCCAAATGTGGAATGGTGTACCTCGTTGATTTCGTAATTAAATTCCCAATCGATTGGCAATCAAACCTAAATATTTTTGTTTTTGACCCTTTATAAAAATGTGAAAAATAGTTCAAATAATCAATTGTTTAATGCATTTATCCGGTAAGATATAGGATTGGATAGGATAGGATAGGATTTTTAGATTTTAGTTACTTTTGGACAAGCAAAAAACACTTAAGAAAAAACGTATTTTTAGTCAAAATCATTATGCTGTGACCACTTTTAAAAAATGTGCAAGGGGGTCAAAATATTCAAGTTTTTTAGATTTGGGATCATTTTTGGAAAACTTACAGCAAAGATACAATCAACAAATAGAACCGCGAAAATTTACCTTGGATCAATAACTATAGATAATAAGGCGTTTACACTTACACTAATTGTGTCTTGGCTAATAGCTTATGGAGGCTACTTGTGGGTGGTGTACTAGTTAATCGTGGTGGGTGCCCTCGCTAACTAGCCAATTGGCCAATTAACCCGCTAGTGCAGCCCTGAACTACAGCCAACTCCCCACAGTCACGCACACCAGCACAAACGCAGCATAACGCGTCGTTCGACGTCGGTGTTTGTGTCTACGTCACATCGGTTTAAATGATGTTTTAATTACCCAACTGTGACTGCAAGGCAACTCGATCGAAGCACATTATGCTGTGAGTATACTGAGACCCAAATCGCCTGCGAAACCGTTTAAGCCCAGTTACGCCCCCAAAAAATGTTGCAGCCCTCAATTGCATAACAGCACTTGCGCATGAGTGTGTGTGTGTGTGGGGAAACGCCAGAGGACCGAAACACACCACACCGAGCAGAGCAGGAGCAGGAGCGAAAGGAGGCAAGACAGCAGGAAGCAATTGCAGTTAAAATACAGATTTTGGCTAAAAATGTCCAGCTGCTGACCAAACAGCGATTGCATATCGCCCAACAAACAGTATTCGCCCGAACAAACCACCACGCCGAAACACACCACGGGTGCGAGACTCGGCTAATAGTCACAGTGCAGCCCTGGAAGATGGCCGAAGCGACGCGGTGCTGACCTGGCCACACTGCAACGCCACCCGATTTAGTTGCTGTTTTTTTACATAACTCGCCACATTCGTTCGCCTCGGAATCGTGACATACATATATACACATATATATGATAATACACCATATATTATGGCCGTTTTCCTGATCAACGTCTGCAAGTACAATGGCTGCGGCATCACCTTTCCGAGCTTGAGCGATCTGATTTCCCACATTGAGGACACCCACATAGGTAACAAATCCCCGTAAATCTCGTAAATATCGCTATCATTTGGCCGTCGCGTGATGTTCTCGGTGTGTTTTGTTTATTTTATTTACTCGCCGCGGCATAAATAAAAAGCCAAAGCGGTTCAAAGGTGTGTGCGTGCGTGTGTGTGCGTATGTGTGTTTGTGTAAATGGCTTCGTGGTTGTTTTTATAACATGAATTGCACTTTGCATCTAGCATTTATTGCACTTTAAATGGCAAAATCGATGCTGGAAGCCTGGAAGCGGCTACCTGTGCAGGCACACACACACACACGCACGCGCCCCGCCTTCCAGGCGCGTACAGCAGCATTCGGTGATCGCCTGGAAAGTGCGGGTGCGAGCGAGAGGGCAGTACAAGCAAAACAAAAGCAAAAAAGCCGGTGATCCATTCAATACCCCTTGTACTTGTGTATGTGAGTGTGTTTGTTGGAAGGCCAGCACAGCATCTAGTTGTTGTTGTTGCTGCTGCTGTCTGTTTGTAGTGGAAACCGGCGAGTTGAGCGCCCTTTTTTTGACCTGTCCGCATGGCTTGGCTTGGGTTTTCATAGCTTCTTCTTCTTGCCAGAAGGCAGGTGTATCCGCATCCGCATTTGGTAATTGGAGTTGCAGGTTGGGAAATTCTCTCCGTTTCCCCACCCGCCCACTTTCCACCCACTCCCACACGCACAATCGATACTTTCCCGTCCACGTGACTCCCGTGGGCTTCCAATTAATCATTTCCAGGTTGTGCGTGCGTTTGTGTGTGTGTTTGGACTTTTACCGGCTGAAATAAACAATTTCTAATTTTAGTGTTTGAGGGGAGGGGAGGGGGGTTCTGGGCCAGGGCCCGCCCCTTTTCCCCCTTTTCGAGGGGGAAAATCAATAGAGTTAAGCTCAGTAGTGCTGCCGTATTACGGGAACAGGGGTGGGAGGGGGTTGGGGGTGGGTTAACCGTTAACGGGCCGCATTTATTCCTTCTGAACAGTGCGTCTTACACTGAGGAAAATATTGTGAGGTGTTAAATAACTAAATAAAAATAAATAAATTAACCAATTAAGCATTTCGTTAGATCTGCTGATTATGAAATCTAATTACAAAAGCCTAAGTTCAAATCCCAATCTAAAAAAAAAGTTTCATATAAATTAAAATTTAAATTTTTTGTGCATAACATAGCATTTATTTAATATTGCATGTTTCTTATTAATATTCCACTGCCCTAAACTCAAAGCAATCACTAATTAGTGTACTTAAAATGATAGGAGCATCAGTATCTTTCAAAAGAAGCCTGTGTTCAAATCCTTCCCCTAGAAAATCCTTTCTAAAATTGTTATGGAATCTAAATAGTCACTTGCTGGAATCAGGTTTAAAATAATGTGTAAAATTATCACTTATTAATTTTTCTCTCTGTGCACAAGGAGGCTCTCTCACACAACGCACATACACACATAGACACACTCAAAGCTAGAGGGGTTGGAAAGAGAAAGCAGAGGGGTTGCTCAGCTGACTCTTACAGTTACGTTGGCAGCTGTTTTGTTGTTGCCACTGCTGCGTGATAACGGTCAACACACACACACTGACTGGCATACATATAAAATGGCTGCCCGGGCAGGCTTTTCCGCTTTCCACTTTCCACCTAACCACCACCCCCTTTTTGCGTCCCCGGGCATTACATAAAGCCCAGGCTCGAGAGCAGACGCCCACTTGGCAACTCTGCCACCCCCAAAAACCAGGCCCAGATATCAAATATACCCCCGAAAATCCACCCATTGCGTATCCATTACGTGAGCGAGCTGTTCTGGGGCTTATAAATGCCCATCATTTCATTATCTCGAAGGACACTCGATGCGTGGGTTCTGTTCTGTTCGGGAATATATGTATGGATGGTTGGATGTAATGGATATATGCCTGTTATCAGGACTCGGTGGGCGTTGTCGCTTCGGTTCGGTTGTCGGGCGAGACCTTCAGGTTTGTCCTTTTCACAGTTGCCAGGCACCTGTTGTTGCCTTTCCGCCTGCGATGTCCCGAAAAATGCCCGGGTTTCAGTTCTTTATGCACTCGCATTTCGATAACCAGCTGCGAAATGCGATAGGCCAGCAGAGTGTTAACCCACTGAGTAAATGGGCTCGAAGAAGAGTACCTGTGCACCTGTCGAAAGGGGATAGTTTATTAGGGGAAACTCGGGGAATTTAACAAGAAACCAATAACCGATATTATCAATACAAAGCTGTAGCTGAAAGATATATGTTCTAGGTTATATTAATGTCATATAGATAACCCAATGAGCAATACGAATCAAATGATGAGTACAGTTTCACTTATCTTTTTAAAAAATTCCCAAGATATGTAAATCACTGGATTAACCAGAGAAACTGCATGATGCATTGAGTACAGTTGTTATTTCCAGGATTTACCTGATAAATCCAGAGATTTCGCTATAGAATACGTAGTTGTATTATTTGCGGGAAAGCCCCTTATTCAAGAAATTATCGAAGTATATGCTTAAGGATTTAAAATCATAATCCACTATTTGTACTTCCTAGTTTCTCTAAATAGAATCAGGTCCAGAAAAGTTACAATAAATTACGAAATATTTATATTTTCAGGTGACAAACCTTGTGACCTTGAAAAGGTTGGTAGTTTTCAAGGCAGAGTGTTTAAAGGATAGTATTACTAAAACCTTAAAGTATAAAACAACACTACAACTTTATCGATTTCAAAGTATTCAAAACTTCTTTTAATGTGTTATAATATAATGACCCCGCCCAAAATGTGTCCCTGCACTTGCAATGTCAACATAATTTCGCTGTCGACGACTTGCGTTTATCGAATTTCAAACGAACTGCTGCTCTTCAGAGCTATTGGAAAGTTTTCGAGACAGCTGCCGAAATGAAAACAAACCGAAACCGCATGTTCAGGCGAAAAAAACACATTTGTTATCTTATTAAAAATTCTGCAACAAGTGCATGACTCACACGAGTGCAAAAGAGAGAGGTCTCTGAGTTTATTTTGTTTCTGAAATGCGAAAAACGTATGATATACGACGCGTACACAGATGTGGGTCTGTTTATCTGTATATAGCTAGTAGCTACATAGATGCTATTTGTTTAAAAGTTGTTTGTAAAATACTCGATTTGATAAACACACAAACACCGAGGCAAGAGCAAAAAGTCACCTACGGCGAGAGAAGTCGTGAATGTCTGGGGTTATCAACAACAAAATAATAATAACAATAATGAAGGCGGAGCAGAAATAAAAATATAAAAAAAACCCAAACCGAACCGGGTGAACTGATTTGACCGTTGACAAATGACGCCGTGTTCTCGAAAGGACGGGAGGGGCGTGGCACTTCGATTTCGTCAGCCAAAAATATATATATCTGTAGGCATATAGTTGCAGTTTCGGTTTGGCGAATGTTCAAGGCGAACATTAGTACTGAATTGATACCTAAAGTACGTGGAATTATTACGCACATATGGTGTGTCCGTATGCCCGTTTGTCCGTATGTCCGTATGTGTCATCAATCGATTACCCGGCACGTAGACATCACCGCAATCATTGCCGCAAATGTTTTTAATCGCATTTCGCCCTGATAAGCGACCAAAAAAGCGGGGGGAGTTGCTAGATGAAAGCATATGTTTCGCATAATAGCCAATTTGCGGCATATGTTTTCGAGGCAATTAAAGTGCAACGTTATGGAACTGTTATCGCGTGGGTGTTGTACATATATGAGGAAAATGCATTGCTCCCACTGAATTATAACCATGCCATCTACTAGATCTTGCTTAATATGGTATGATGAAATCGATCTTTCCCCTCAAAAAAAACCTTGGGTTAAAGTTGCCAAGGAATTTACATCAGCCAAATTTAAATTTAGTCGTCTGAAGAATTCGCGTTTATATGAAAGTTAATGTTTCCTTCAATGTGAGTACTAAAACCCCATAAATTATTATTTTTAAAGAATATTTAGAGTACTACTGATTGATCTCTCCTCTTAATAAAATACCAAGTTTAAAGGTGCTAAGAAAGTTAAAGTTTCCCCCTATAAACCCCGTATATTATTCTTTTTAAAGACCATATGGAATACTACTGATAATCTAGTTTAATACACTTTGCAGTGGGTAAATCAATCTCTGAGATCCGCAACTGATCGATGGATGTTATTTTATCGTTTAGCAGCCCCGCGTTAACTGCCACTGCAATCAAGAGACGAATGCACAGGGTGCCCGGTGGCGGACAGATCAAGAATGATGAATGGATCGCCCGGCTGACACAGTTACGCACCAAAACGATTTAATTGGGAAATAAAGCGTGCTCATGGAGGTTAGGTTGCCTTGCTCGAAAAGTAAATAAAGACGCAAAAGGGGCGCAGAGGCACCTGTTATTATGCACTCGCTGATTAAGCAAGCTTTGGGCTTATGCTTGTTGTTTCGGCCGATAAGATAATGTACCCACGCTACAGAGCAGGCCATGTGCTCCTCCTGGTTCCCTCTATAAAAAAAACCCCTAGAACCCCTCGGAAAATGCGTCAGCAGGCGCACTAAATTCGTCGCCATACCATTCCCCGTACGTGCACTCTCGCTATTTACTTATTTCGACAACATTTTAATAATAAATTGCCCGGGCTGTGGGTCGTCTCTTGAATGTCTGTGAACTTGTTCCAGTGCAAACACAGCGCTTGACTTTGGAATTTTGGATGCAGGTTTCTGTGTTTCTCTTGTTCTAAATGCCCGCATTCCGGTTCGGTTTCGGATTTAGATTCCAATTCCGACTCGAAAGGGAATTTTTAATTAGCCAATCCCGTTCCGTAATTACTACTGGTTATATTCAGAAAACATTACAATGAAGAGTGGTTTTGATTGTGAATTTAGGATGCATGGCATAACGCCCGGTGTCATAACGCCCAGGAAATCTCTTATCGGTATTCTCATTAACTCAAAATGCATTTTACAATTTTTTAGAAGGGCGTTATGACACTCGTTATACTTTCCAGACCAGTGAATTTATAGTAATTTCGCTTATTTTCTTTTAGACTATGACCCCAAGGTGGTCGAACAGAAGGAGCAGGCCCAGCCTGCCTGCCTGCCCTTGAGCTACGTCCTGCGCTTCATCACCGAGGAGACCCGCAAGGAGGCGGGCTCGTTCCTGGCCAGCAGCAACACCAACGCCCCACCGACCACCAACAGCGGATCGAATGCCGCCGGCCACGGGAGCGGCAATGTGGAGCTCAAGCGAAAGTTGGCCATCAAGCACCACAGCTACAGTATGTCCTCGTCTAACCGCAGCACCACGCCCACAGGTAAGTGAGATTGTAAAAACTGTATGCAAGATTGATTCTAATTGATGATTCTTTAACCTCTTAGGCAGCGAAATGGATGAGGACGAAATGGTGGTCACGGAGTCGGAGGATAGCAACGACTCCTGGACCACCGAGGAGTTCAGCTCCGAGTTTATCATGCGCTATGGCAGCAGGTTCGTGTTTTTGTCTACTTTTAAATACTAAGTAGTCATTGCAAAATAGAATTATAATTTTTACGACTTGAAAAATACCTAATTTTAGTGCCCCATATAAAAGGGTATACTTTGTTTACATTTATTTTTAAAATTGCCATGTAAATAGCTCACAAATTGTATTTCGTTTTTGTTTATATATGAAAGAGTCGAGTTTTTATTAGAAGCGATTGTGACAAAATCCAGCGATATCGCGGGGTTACTCACAGCATAAAAGGTTTTGCTTAAATAAAGATGTGATTCGCTAGACTTTGTGATTCATTAGCACTAATCACTAAACTGTTTAAAAATAGAAAGAATATTTTTTATACCGCTTAACTAACGCTTTTTTTTACCCATTCTTTTTATTTTAACTAGGCATTCCGGTGGCGGAAACAACGGCACGCCCGGCAATGAGAAACCCTTCGCCTGCCCTGTCCCGGGATGCAAAAAGCGTTACAAGAACGTCAACGGCATCAAGTACCATTCGAAGAATGGCCACAAAAAGGATGGAAGGTAACGATAGCTAGCCACGAGACCTATAAAACTGTTTGGTAAACTGGAAGCTGATAGTTCTATGTTCCACAGGGTTCGCAAGGGCTACAAGTGCCACTGCGGCAAGAGCTACAAGACGGCCCAGGGCCTGAAGAACCACGCTCTGCACACCCACAACTCGCAGCCGGATAGCGTGTTGAATGCCCAGCTGGCGAACGCGTTGGCCATTGGCGATAGCAACGCCACGCCCGTCGGCAGCAGCAGCAGCAACACCTCCTCCAATCCAACCACAACCAACCCGCCGCCCGTCATCCAGCGCAGCAACTCGCCGTCGCAATCGCTGGGCTCGCTGAGTCCGTCGAGCATCAGCAACATGTCGAGCAGCGCCAGCAGTTGTCACGGTGGCAGCAGCAGTCTGTCGAATGGGAACGGCAATGGGAATGGGAATAACAATGGTGGCAGCAACAGCGCATCCAGCAACACCACTGCCATTCTCACTGGCAACGGGAATGTCCTGCAGCAGCTCAGCGCCGGGAACGTGGTCACCCTGACCAATCTTCCCACCCAGCAACAGCAGCAGCAGCAGCAACTCCACCAGAACTCCACTGCAACAGGTAACAGCAACAACAATTTAATGCGCAGCACACTCGGTTTAGTATCCATTAAAGCCAACAACACGCCGACAGCCAAGTCTGTTAGCAATCTGATGGCCGCCAATGCCACAGCCAGCAAGATACTCAAGCTGGCCACAAATGTGGCCAACGGAGGCGCCTCTATGGAGCTCCAGCAGCAGCACAGCAAGACAACAGGCAATGGCCAAACTACTGTGCTCAATGGCAGCAAGCCACTGCCCAATTTGGTCAACTTGGGCATTCTCACGCCGGCCACCTCACCCACCAAAAACACTCAGACGCTGACCTTCACGACCACCACGAATGGTAGCAGCCAGCAGCAGCAGCAGGCTTTGGTGGCCTCGTTGGCCAAGAAGACCAACATATTGCTGCTGCAGGAGCCGCAACAGTTGCTGCAGCAGGTGCAGCACCAGCAGCAGCAACATCACCAGCAGCCGCAGCAGCAGGTGCAGCAGCAACACCATGTGCTGCCCATCAGTCCCTCGAGCAGCGTTAGCGGGAACAGCAGCAAGAGCAGCTCACCCACGCCGCAGCAACAGCAACAGCAGCAGCTGCTGCTGAAGAAGGGCAAGCTGGAGCTGATCGAGCCCATGGACACGGACGAGGGTCAGAGCGATGGCATTTCGGAGAGCGTGGCCGCAGCGATTGCCAGCATCACGGATTGCAAGGAGGACATGGGAGGAGGCGGAGCAACAGTGGCGGGCATTGAAGTTGTAGGCGCGGGCGCCGTCAACGAAGAGACGTAGCCTATACTCAAGCAGCTACTGATGCACCGGAAACTGACGATGGAACCGCATTGACCAGCTCCTCCTCTGTATACGAACCATCTTGGGGGGCAGACAGACCTCCCACTCACTCACTCACCAAAACACCCATTTGGAAACATTTCGTAGACTGCTTTTTAGTTTAGACCCCCTTAATTGTATCATAAAACTGAAGGAAAAGAAAAGATGCCCACACACAAATCGAATTGATTGTGCAATATTTAATTCTGTATAATTTAGAAAGAGAGAATTTTAATCACCTTTAATTGTATGTATGACTATCATGCTTGTATTAAACTATTTACAACTGCTGATCTCCTCTTAATTTAATTAGGCTAAAAACATAAGAAGAAAAAACACCACCACACACAGACGAAGCACGAGTAACAATTGTAATAAATACGCAGCAAATGCAAATTTCAAATTCATTTCCAACCGAAACACTTTAATTATTGTTAGCACTATACAACTTGATTAATCTCGGCTTTAGCTTTAGTGACTATTCGTATTCGACTAAAACCAAGTATTATTTATGTTCTAAGCTCTAGCAAATTGAATTTAATTATACGATATATATATATAAAGAAACACACCCACACACATCTACTCGGATATTTAAAGTCTGCTCATTAGTTTAAGACGACCGACGACGACGACGATCCCCCGACGACTTTGTGCAATATTTTATTTTTATAAATTCCAACTCTCTATTCAAACCTCGGGTACTCTCTTTATTTCCGTTCCGTTTCGTTTGTTTTGTTTTGATTTTATTTTATGTTTTTCGTTACTTCTTTTCCTTTTCTCTCTACCTATTGCAGAAACCTCTTACTCCTGCTCAAACAACAGCAACCTCAGCAATCCGAACAGCAACCACAGCGATTCCAGCAAGCCGCCAACGACGACGCACCACCAGTCCGTCAGCAAGAGGTCCACAGCAACCGCTCCGGCCGCGAAGCCAGCAGCCCTGCCCATGCAGATCTCGCCCAACTTCATTGAGCACAAGTATTCGGCGCTGGCCATGAAGGAGAAGTTCTTCCTGAACCTGAGGGCCGGCAAGGCGGCAGTGTCCAGTTCATCGGGAGGCGATGGACACCAAGCGGACGTGGGAGGATCCGGTGGCTTGCGGGCGGTTGCTGTGGGCCAAATGTGCGCGCTGCAAAACGAGCACATTCACCAAAATCTCTACAAGAAAACGATCAACTGATCGGAGGAGGCGGAAACGCTGGGCGCCGCTGAGAAGCAAGAGAGTTGGCTGTGATGAAGTAGTAACTAACTGACTAACAAAACCGGACGAGAGGCGGAGAAAGAGGATTCGTCAATAAGGCAGAGAAGGGGAAAAGAACGCAGAAGCTGCAGCAATTTAAGGAGGAGGAGGGATTAAGGAGAAGATGTGAGGCAGATGTAAGGTCCTTAGAGAAGTTTTCCAAGACAAGGCAACCGCAAGAAGCAAGAATTTCCATTGGCTTCCAAATGTAATAACCACAAAATGCAAAAACAAATTCCATGCATTTCGCAATTATGAAAAAATCACCCAAAAGCACACACAAAACATTAAACTAAAATACATTAAAACTAATCTCAACCATATTAAGCAGGCCTGCTTAGAAAAGCTTCTCTAAAACAGCTTTAGATAATTTTAAAATTAAAATCAAACAAAAAATAACGAAAAAAAGAATTAAATTTACACCACAAAATTTTAGTAAATACATTTGGAGAGTTTTCTTCAACTAGTCATTATTGTAGTTAAATTAAATTTTTGATTTTATACACGCGTAAAAAAACGAGAAATTTCTAACCGACTGGTTGGTGGAATTGCCGCACCCTATATTTATAACTTTAGAAACTACTTTCCCCTGTACAATTTCAATGAAATCTTACCAAGCGGGGTTCTCCCAACCAGTTGGTTAAATCATTTTAATTCAAAAGTCAAAAATTGTCTAAAAGAGATCCGCAGTTGAAGGAGAACGTGGAAATGGAGCAGGGAAATGGAAAACGTTCTCGTGCGAACCATTTGAATTAGGAAAATTATAGGTCGCGAACTTGCCAGGGCAACTTCAAGCGATCCGAATGCAAAAAACAAATCGGAGATGCAACAATTTATAAATGTCGAATATTTCAAGCATAAAATAGTTAGCTACAAATTTAGGGGAAGCCAGGAGGCGTTTCCACTTAGGAGCCACAATAACTCTACAGTAGTTATAGTATTATAATTATAAATTACGCTATTATTTATACGACAGAGCATACTTCTGTAGCTGTGTGAGTGTGTATCCGTGCATGTATTGTAATTGTTTATTTATAGTGTTCGAACGTCCCTAAGTGTAAAGTCCCCACAAGAAACCACAAAAACAAATACAAAATATACGATATGAATACAGAAATATATTTGTGCATACTCTCGACGATTGTACTTCATTGCATGCCTCTAAATTCGATCGAACTTCCTATCCTAGCAGAATCGGGTTCCTTAAGCATTCAAACAGAACAAAAAAAAGAAATTTTAGCCACGATATTTACATCAAGTATACCTACATCAATTTAGTCAGCCGCCAAAACAAAATATAACGAAACAATACAGAACATAACTTTTTCAGAGCGCATTTCGCAGACGCCCAGCGTCTTAAAAATTGATCACAACTAAGCTAAATAGTTCAGCGTCCCTAATAGATATAACACGTAGCTATCGATGCATACTTACATCTAAATACAATATGGTTAAGACCTCACGCTTAAGCGACTCCCAACGGATCGCCCTAGTTTAGCCAAACATCTTTTATAGACGGAAACTGTCTTCGGTCCCCGAAGCCCCATCGAGTTTTCGGGCACCCGCTCGATCACTCGCATTCAAACTTTCAAAATGGATAATGAACTCAAAACCCTCTAATGAAAACAATAAATTGAGTATGTCATTTTAAATAAGACTGCTGTTATGTTCGTAAATATATTTAATATATGTATGTAAAATTAACAAAAAACAAAACCACACACAAAAAAAACTAATAAAATGGAAATAATAACTTTTAAATAAAAAAAATCACAAAATCGAGAAAATTAATAAAAATTGAAATGAATAGTTGACGTATTCGTACTATACCTACATACTATGTACTATATAATGTATTGTAATTGTAATTTACTAAAATCGTAGAGAATTAACTGAAGTCTTAAAATAGATCATCGACATCCACATCAACACGAACCCGAGAAAGTCGCTACACAAAATGGAGCAGCAAACTCAAAAGGGATTAATGATACATCCATATAAGCCACAAAAAAAAACACATTATCATCCACAACAACAACAAAATGTAGTAAAATATTCTCTTTTTGCTTTATGTGATCTATTACATACTACATTAACATATGTATAATAAAAATGTCCTTCAAAAACAAAGTTGAGTAACAGAAATGCATTTATTTTCGGTGGGGATTAGATCACTGTCGGCATAAAGACGACGGATGTTGAATCTGCTTCAAAAATTCTTGGTCATCGTTGAAGAACAATAAAAATAATGAATTTTTCAACGATAGTGGAAGAATTGGGTTTTATTAATTATTTTATTATTTTTTATTGCATAATTGATTGTTTTGTATTTACAAGGTATTTATTTACTTATACCTACTGAAATTTAAATTATACAATAGAATTCGTTATAATTGTTGAAGTTTTAAGACTCTAAACAATTTCATATAAAATATATTAAACATAAAATGAAATTAAATTTAAAGTTTATTCTTCTTACTTACTTAATATTTTGTATTTATAAATCTAACTAAATTTTCTAGCCAAGTGTGTATATTCTTCTACTTCTCATAATTTTGTAACCCTTGACCTATTTAAAACTTTGGTCAACTTACCAGAAGCAAGTTGGCAAAATTTTGTACAGAGATCGTGAAAATGGTAACTAGGTTGATATTAATATTTCCAGAAATAATAATATCAAATATTTTGATAATATTTCCAGAAATATCCAAATCAACTCTGGTAAGATTTTGTAATTTTTTTTTTGATCTTGGCATCGATTGATTTCTGAGCAGATGACTTGAAGCACACAAACTACGAGCCAGTGCACTGATGAGGGTGGAATATCCTTGGCGAGTCCTTGACCATCCGGGTATCCTTGACCTTAGGCCGACTCGCTGGCGCCATAGAGCAGATTGTCCAGTTTCAGTTTGTTGATCTTATCGCCGCGGGCCCCGTGTCCTGGTCTTCCCCAGAACGTTTCGAAGGTGTCGAAGTGCTGGTTGCACAGATCCCTGTCCATTTGCTTGGTAACGGAGTGGGATCGACGGTTCTGCGATATTTGGACATTCAGATCGTGTAGGTAGCGCATATCGGCGGCGGTTTGAATCCTGGTTGTCGGTCGATTTTCGATTCATTTATATCATTTCGATTTTTGTTCAGTTTTTAGATTTTTCGAATTTATCAGTTCAGTTGTTTTGCACGGGGATACATAGAAGATTTGGTATTATGACTTTGGATTTTTGCTGTTGCAGTTTGTTTTTTGGTTTTGGTTTTGGTGAGATTGGTTTGGTTTGCTCTTTTGCTATACTTTCACTTGTATTACAATTGATATTTTCTTGCTGGATGAGAATCCGGTGGAGAAGTGGGGGATTAGAGAAACCATTAACAGGGCAAGATTATAAAGAGGGGGGCTTAATAGCTAGAGCTTGAAAAATATTGGCAATCGATATTATCGAATCGATACTGTCAAAATATCGAAAATATCGATAATTTTCAAGCCCTATGAAAAACAGAGAGAGGGAGCAAGCGGACTTTCATTTTCGATATATATTTAGAGCAGAGCAAGCAAATGAGAAACGGAAGGAAGATGGGTTACTATCAATGGTACTATGAATGCAGGAGGGGATCAGGACTGGGGATCAGGGCGATTCTTAAGCCTGGCGAATGTGCAGGGTGAGCCGCTTGAGGCAGCAGCCCGTGGACAAGGCCGTGGGGCAATCGCAACTGCAACACTGCAGCTTGCAGTTCAGATTCTTGGGCAGCCGCTTCATGTGGCTGATGTTCTTGATGATGCTGTTGATGCACTTGATCTTGCTGGTGATCAGCTGACAGTTCTTTGTTGGTGGATGCTTGTGCTTGGATGCGTACCTATCGTGGGACGGCGTCCGCTTCGTCACATCCGTGGAGGAGAGGCTGATGGGTCGGTGCATGCCGCGTCTGCGGGCCAACAGGGGAACCAGCTCCACGCCTCCGCCCTCGCCATATGGTCCTCCTCCGTTTCCTCCGGCTGTGCTGGTCTCCGGCGTGGCGGTGCTGGTGCTCCCGGGACAGGGTCCCCTGGCCGCCATTCGCGGGCACAGTTTGATGGGCTTTCCGCCGCAATCCTGCGGCTTCAGGTGGTGCACGATCTTCCCGGGCGGCGGCGGACCAGGCGGACATGGCGGACATGGAGGTCCTGGCGGACCCGGACACTTCTTTCCCGGCGGAATGGGCAGCGAGAGTGGCGACGGTTTCGGCGGACTCTTTTGCATGGCGGGACAATTGCAGGTGCACATCTCACAGCAGCGCTGCGGTTTGGCCGCCTTTCCTGGTCGCGATTTTCGGAAGGTGTTCTTCTCCGCCGGAGTCACCGGGTTGTCCTGGTCCAGCTCCTTTAGCATCTCCTTGTTCGTCCAGCCCTGAAAGTATTTTAAGTGGCTTTAAGAAACTTATTTGTAGCAAGTAATCAAAAAATGTAAGGAAATGTGGTATTCAAAAAGTGTGCAACACAACATTTTTTACAGAAAACCCCATTCCAACCAAATCCTGCTTCCGCTACTAATAAATCCATATTTTTTTGACGAACAATTTTTAAAGTTTTGAATAGAAAAAAATTGACAAAAGATCAGATTGTATTTGCGCGTCAATTTTATATTGTTTAAAGATCAAAGATTATGTTATTCTTATTTTACATTAATTGTTAAAAAAAATACTACATTTGGTATTATAAAATAGTATTTTATATAATTTTTATGAAATTACAGATATGATAAAATATCAAGTTGATATGTGTGAATCATAAATTTGACATTAATCATAAAGGTTATTTATATGAATTAAGGTAGAAATGACCTTACTTCATATCTAATTCATTTTTCTGGGTAAGAAACTCACCAGTGACTTCATGAAGGTATGGCCCACTTCCTTGGGACTCCGCCAGGGTTTGCCGCCAGGACCTGCCTTGCCCCAGGGCTCCTTGCAGGGCTAAAAACGAAATAAAAGAGATAATAGAGAATCAGTAAAAATATGTTCTATAACGCGTAATAAGTGCCGCTCACCGGCTTTTCCAGTTTGGCCTGCAGTCGCTTCTTTTGCGTGGCCAGCTTCTCCTGCAAAGGACACCGCTGCTCGCTCTCGCTGACCACAATCTTCTCCAGAAGCGGCTTGCCCTTGCACGGCGGCGAGGGCTTGTATCGCAACTCAATGTCCACATGGCCTTTATTGCGAAACGACATTGAAGGATGCTCTTTCAGCTGGATGTGCAGACTCTCACCGTTGGCGTTCTTGGCCAGATTCACGCCCACCCCGGCGCCGGGTTTGTGGGGAATCTCCCGCTCACAAATGGTCACGGTACTGCTCCTGGGTCCACTCTCCTGCAGGTGATGCACGGAGTGGGCGTGGCCCAAACGCCCACCCGGGGGCGGTGGAGGAGGGGCATGGTGGTGGTGGTGATGGTAGGCGGCCAGCGGATTGTTGTGGCACTTCTTTTGCATCGAGAAGAAGTCGTTGTAGCGACACGGTTGCAGTAAATTCAGCCGATGGGCAGTGGTCTAAAGGTTATTTTAGATATTATTACATTATTTTCTATTTATTTTTGGGGGAAGTAAGTATTTACCACAGTGGGCGTGGAGTGGAGACCCACGGCTGTGATGTCCTTGCGGCGCACTTCAACGTTGGGAGCACCTCCGCCCGGTCGACCCCAAGGACAATGTTGGTGAAACAGGTCGTAGTACTGTTTAAAAAAATGAAAACAAATTCTTGAGATTGTAAACCAAAATATATGAATGTTTTGATAAATTATGATTTTAAAATTTTTAGCGCAGAATAGACAGAATTTTGCTTAAAACAATGAAACATTGGTCCAAATATCTGTCATGTCTCGTTGAGCTCGTAATGAAATTCCTAATCGATTGGCATTCAGCCCTGAACATTTTTTTTTTACCATTTTTCGCCAAAAATAATGATGTAACCCTTTTTAAAAAATTTAAAAACGGGTCAAAATATATAATTTTGTAATTCACCCAGAAAGTGATAGGACTCTGCGCAAAACACTGCGTCTTTTAGGTTTGAGATACTTTTTGGACAACAAAAATGTTTAGAACAAATCCAGATCGTTATTTTTACGGCAAATTATTATCTTATAAAAAATGTAAAAATGGGTCAAAATATGAAATTCTTGGTAATACTTAAGGTGACGGCTGTAGTTTTTCACTGCATACTTGTTGGCGTCTTTATAAGTGATATAAAATCTCATAATTTTCTGTAGCAGTCTTATATATAATAATTAATTATATAGATATTAAAAAATATTTATTTAAATAATCCAAAAGAGCTTATAAAAAATTAAATTATTATTATTTTGCAGATTCATTGGATATTCTAAGATATGAATATTTCTTAAGATCTTATTTACTTTGATTTTCCCTCAATTTGTTCAGAATTGCTGTATTTAATCCCTGCTCTGCCGAAAAGAGACTGCCGCAGGATGATTACAACACCGAGTTATGTCTTATCGATTTGGTGGCAGCCTATTTATGGTTCCAGACTGCCTCAACCCACCTAGTCGTGTCACTCCGCGAAGTGTGACGATGTTTGTTTACGGAAATTGGCAAACCCCTTTGAATTCCCGCTCCCTTTGGCCCACAAACTTTGTTTGTAGGTTGTTGTTATAGTTGCAGGAATAGCGATTTGCATTTCACTGATTTTTTTCACCCACATTTCGGTTGTGATAGGTAGCCAAATAATCAGGATTCTAGGATTCCAGTCACGCAAGGACTCGCAGGAGCTCAACTGGCATTTAGTTGGGCATTTAGCGCAGAGTGAAAGAGAGGTGATTTGATTACCGTAGTCGAAATTGTCAAAGGGTTTGTTGAACCAAATCCCTGAGGGCGGATGTATTACATGTTGCTTGGGAAAGGTCTTTGAACTTAGCCAAAAGTTGCAACTATCGCGTGGGTGAAGGTTCGAGATTTACTTTTGGATTGTCATAGGTTCTTTTCTGGAAGTTTTTGTCGTGTTGGGATTTTGCGTTTGACTGTAGAACTTGGAAGTGAAGTAATTGATTTGTGACTTTTTACTTCGGGTATTCAAGATTAAAGTAAGATAGGGTATCATTTTAAATTTAAATTATAAGAGGTTTTACAATCACTAATAATGGTGTCTAAAAGTATGCAGTGAATTTTGGATATAAAATAAACTGTAGCATACTTTTATACACCTATATAAATAAAACTTTCGCACAGTTCTTCCAATTACTTTCAAACATCACTCATACGCACTGGGACCCACCTCCTGTTTATCCTTCTCCTTGCGAGCACACTCCTCCGCCTTCCTGCGCCGCCACATGCGAAGACTCTCTTCGGCATTCTTCCGCTCCACCAGACGCTTCTTCTCGTCGCACCACATGAGAGGATGTTGGATGTGGTCGTGGCAGAAGTTGCCACCCATGCCCATCTCATCGCTGGTCGTCATTGGTCTGCTTTGGATTCTCCAGCTAAGTATATCCTATATTATCCAGTTATCTTGAGAACTGGGAGAACGAGAACGGAAGTAGCGCTGCGCTCAGCAAACGCCGCGTTACTGAATCGGTCTCGTGTCCTGGCCAAACCGTTTAACCGCCGAATTGGCTGCCAGGATCCGTATCCGTACAGCCGTGCCAGGCACTAAGGGGCCACGGATGATGGGTCGGTTGTCTAGGCAGCACGCCCGACTATTTATAACCTAGGTTAAGGCACACTTCGGTCGTCTGTCCTTGAAGACAAATCGAAGGATTTATCGGAAGCCCAGCTAATTTGGTTTGGCTATTTAAATATTTCGCCAGTTAGACACGCTGTTTGGCTGCTCCACTTAGCTCGTCGTCTGCCTGGACATAAAATATATATTTACTTTATATTGCCCCGGGAAAATTATGCCACGGCTGCCTTGACTTAACCTGATTCGTGATGTTTTGTTTTAATAAAGGAAAGGCAAGGAAAGTTAAGGCTACTGCAGCATTGCGTGCCATTTAGCCCGAAACTTGTTGATGTTTTAAAATGAAAAGCTCTCGCAAGCCTAAGCATTACTCATACTCCCCATGTGGCAGCTACAAATTTACTTGTTTGCCCCAATTTCCATATCAGCCATGCCCGTCGCAACATAAAACACTTTGGCCATGTCCAAAACTATTTCACTAGGTCATCAAGGTGGTTAATATGTTGCATAGTTACAGTTAACAATCTGCCTTGCACAAAAAAAATTGACAAAAGATCAGATTAATATGTGCAGGCTAATTTACAATTTATTCATATCACTTTAATATGAATAAAGATTATGTTTGGTATTTCAAAACAGCATTTTTATAACTTTTATAAAATAAGAAAATATCAAGTTCATATGTTTGAATCATCAATTTGACATTATCGGCTTTTTATTGATTTGAAATAAGGTAGAAATTACCCTATTTCTTATCGAATTTCTGTGTAAGAGTTGTGTGGAATATTAAAAAAATTTCACTTAATTTGTTTTACAAAATCGAATTTTTATTCATCTCTTTAAGTATACAAATATCGTAATTACAAGTATCAATATCAACATCATTATCATCGTTTTTATTATCGTTCGCCCTCTAAAACATGTGGGTAAATCGTCTTCAGCACCCATTTGAATTGATCAACTGGCCAGGATTGGCAATTTACGCTCTCTGGTTTTAGTCTTCTCTTTTTTCTCTGTGTAGAGCTGTGGGCTGTAAAGGAGCCCCATGGTTTTTCTCTTTGAAACTGTACACACAAAAAAAAAACGAATTTCGCTGACTGACTTAATTGAGGTTGTGTTTATAAATTAAAATAAAAACTTAAATTAAATAGAGGGTTTTTTAGGCATTCCGAAATGGGGGTTTGCGGTTCGATTTTGTGTGTTGATGTCTTATAAATTACTATTGCATTAGAGGCGGAGAAGAAAGGTTTAAAATTAAGACTGGGCAGCATTGTTTCACGTACAATCCTCATTACATTTCTTATAGAACATAATATTATATGCATTTCATGCGCGAATGGTTCAAAATATATTTTATTTTATTTAATCCTCTAAATTACATTTTTGTGCGGTCGGAAGGGATTTCAAGAAAGGAGTGCAGGCAATATGACCATTGAACCATTTAGGCATGAAATGCCCTAAATCAAGTATTTAATATATAAAATAAACCATTTATGTTATGTCCTTCGTGCTTCGTATTATAAATATCGTTTTACACACTTGTTTGCTTTTTGTTGCATTTGACTAATAAACATTTTCCCTTCTATAGTAAGTAGTTTCCTCTCGTTTGTTGCGCGGTAAACCCGTGGCAACCCTTTTTCGATTTCTTTTATTTTGAAGAAATATTTGTACAATTTTCTCGTTTCTCCTATTGTTTCGCTCTCTCTTCACATGTATAAATAAAGTTTTCGAAAAACATTGCATATAAAATTTGTTAAAAATTCATTCATAACATCTCGTTATTATGTATTATGTGTTTGTTGATTAGGTTTTTGTTTATGCAATTATTTACAGTGTTAACAACAAATGCCTAAAAACTAAATAATAAATCTTGTCTAGCCCGCTGGCTGAACAGAACTTAATCGAAACATCAAGTGTGTGGCCTACATAACACTATTATTATTATTGCATTACGCGTATATTGTTTATGCTTAGGGTTCTCTACTTCATGCGGTTGATGACTAAGTCGGCGACCACCTGGAGGCCCTTCTGGTAGGGCGACTCCGTGAGCTCTTGGGCCAGCCGTATCGCCTCGTTGCAGTGCTTCTTGGCCAGGAAGCGGGTCTGCTCCAGGCCATGTGACTTGTGCACCAGCTCGAAGGCCCTCTCCACATCGCCGGGCTCGCTGAAGCGCCGCATCACCATGGGATTCAGCTCGGGGTACTGAAATAGATAGATGAGGAAAGGCATTTAAGTTATGCAGCTTTTGTATGTGGGTAAAATGCAACTATGACTTTGCGAACGCACTGCACGCGTGCGCAGCCCGTGGAATGCATAGCAAATGGGCATTGGTAATCGCTGGCAATTGAGCTACGGACCCATCTGCGCATCTAGCCAACGAGCACCACCCACCCACATGACATCATCACACCTTCACCGCCGGCACCATGAATACATCAATTTGGCGACGGCGGGCAGCCACTTTGGATGCAAGGCAAACGGAAAACTGGACAAAGAGACATCTCAATCTGGCATATTTGTGCACATAGAGAAAATAGTACTATTACTAGTAGTTATTTCAGTTTTTTTTTTATTTCATGTTTAAAGGACCAAAAATAATTTAAAATAATTGGAACAGATGCCAAAAAGTATGCAATGAAATATTTTAATCAGAGATTTGAACTCACGTTTGTTATAACATACTTTTGGGAACATTTTAAAGTGATTTCAAATCGCTAAAAAAACAATTTATAAGATTCTTCCTTTTTAATTCAAAGATAAAAAATAATTAAAATAAAATTTGAAGGAGAATCGCAAAGATACTCATTAAAGTGCCACTAAATCTTTACAGATTTATTTTCAATTTTTCCCTGTGCACTTAAACTATTGGCAAGCCAATGAGGAAACTTCAAATGGATTCCCAGACTCCTCACTCACCTTTTCGCATGCAAAAAGAACGGGGGCGGTGGCCAATCCCAGTTTCAGATCCGCCGCCGTCGGCTTGCCCATCTGTTCGGTGGAGGAGACAAAGTCCAGCATGTCGTCGACCAGCTGAAAGGCCAAGCCGATGTTGCGTCCATACTGGAAGGCCACCTCGGCCACGTTGTCGTCGGCCTGGGCAATCACGGCGGTCTGCAGGAGAGATAGATAATAAGTGGGTTCAAGATCAGTTGCAAATTGCAAGGGAATCCGATTGAATTGGGAACAATGACGCGAGACTGCGTGCAAACTAATTGCCGCATTAAGCGATAAATAAGTGCCAACTGCTTATGATTGCATGATGATAATGAATACTCACCGCCTTCAGTGCATTGGCGATCAGCGATGCGGTCTTCCTGTATGTCTTGGTCAGATAATGGGCGAAGCGCTCGTTCTCCGTTTCCCTTGAGCCCAGCTGCATGAACTCGCCTTGGACCAAATCGGTCAAGATCTGCAAGAGATCGAGGACAATGGGGTTGTAAATATGTCACTATAAACGGTGGTCGTGTTATGGATATGGCTTCAATTGTTCTTGGCCCGGGTTTCCCACTCGAAAATGAATGGATCATTACGCAATTCGCAATGTCTTATATACACTCATAAAAAATTCAAGATGATAAAATAATATTCGATGGTGGGTTAAAAAAAAGTATGCAATAAAAATGTCGTCTTTTTACAATGAGTTAACGTTTTTGCCTACTTTTAGACACATATATAATTGATTTTAAAACCTAAATGATTTCGCTATTAAACATTTTAAGTCCTAAAATGTTTAAGAAATCTAAAAGTATTTCTCGTATTTCTCGATATTTAATATCTTTAAAACATCGATATTATCGAATCGAAAATGACAAAATATTGAACATATCGATAATTTTTAAGCTATACTTTTTTCTTGTCACTTCGAAAGTTCTTTAAGCGATTCTTGGCAAATTGTAATAAATAAATATATTATTTTCTGTGTATTAAAACATTAATCCACTCGTGTGTATGTAACTTCCGCTTGGCTAAAGCCTCAAATGCCAATCGCAAATACAATTGTGCCAAATAAATCTGGCAAACAAGATTTCATTCAGATCTCCAGAAGAAGCTGAATATTTTGGCTATCGCCGCTTCTGTTTGCCCATCAATTGTTCGGCACACCACGCCCTTCGATTCGCCTTTGAAATAGGCATTTTCATTGATTCGGCCACAAAATCTCACAGTCAGTTGTCAAAAGCTTTGGCAAACAATCGTGGGCGCTGAAAAATGGCGGTTTCCAAGGAGCTCAAGGTGATTCGGCCATAACTGGCCAATAGTTTCTGGCCAAATTCCTCTGCTGGACTTTCAATGTTAATTAACACTGACAAAAAGCCAAACTACCAGCCACAAGTGCGTGAGCTCTAAACAACTTGGCCAACAAGTGCATTTGGAGCCACAAAATTAACACAATGCCGCCTTTTAAGCAGCTAAACGAGACCAAAAGCTGCAGGCCGCGGAATCGAGTGCATTTTGTTGAAAAAATAATATGGTTTAGCCTCGAAACCACTTTGTAAGCCACTTATTTGGGGAATTTTCTTTTTGAATCGCATACTTCCGACAAGGGGAATTTGGCGGAAAAAAATGGTTACATGTTATCAAGATATTTTCAGGGGGCTTTTGCTTACAGGGTATAAAATCAATTTTTTTTAGACCGTATTTTCAATTGCTTAATAATGTCTGGGCCTTTCCTAGGGCATAAAAAGTCTTAACTGTCTGGTTTAGCCCAAAACTCAGAGGTAGTCATAAATTCACTTGATTGAAAGGCCGGTGGACATTCTACCCATTTTGTTAATGCCATCCAACGTCTTAGAAACCGCTGATTTTATTCAGACACGTGCACAGCATATTTAATATGATAAATCTGACAAATATATTCCGAAGATTGTAGATTGTGTCGTAGATGAAAGAAACAGGCAAAAAGTCGTCTATAAATGAGATACAAAATGAGTTGGATGAATACCAAGATTGGGTTTCTTTTGTCTAAAGGTTTTTGTGAATTAAATGGTTAAGCTAACAAAAGATTACCATAGTAAAACTTCTATAAATAGGTTTTTAGTATAAGGTTCAAGTAAATTTGTAAATATTTGTACATCCAAAAAAAAAACATTATAAATATTATTAATACCTTTCGATATCGAGTTTTATCCCTATGAACTACTTTTTAGAAGAGCTTGAATGAATATCGACAGTTTTCCATTTCTCAATATTTAAAAGGAATTTTTGTTCTTTTTATAATATTGAAAATATCGATAGTTTTCGAGTTCTACTTTGTAGAGTGTTTAGGGCTATGCCAAAGCCTCGTTTTTTGTTTATACTTATGTATAATTCCACAGTTCAGAGAAATTTAAATAAATAGTGGATACCAGTTGGAGCTGTTTGGCTTAGAACTAGTTTCCCGAGACGAATGACCTCACGATCGCAAAGAAAGTTTCATTTTGGCGGGGTCAAAGTGTTTGGAATGCAAATGAGCCACATTATGCGCTAGATACACGGGCATGATATCGCCCAGATTGAGGTAATGAAATAAACAAATAGCTGGGGATAAGTGTCTGGGCCGCACCTTAGGCCATCTTCAGATCCACAGGCCCATCCTCAGGTGTTACGCATGTTATTTTTTCCCCCATATTTCGCGAATTGAGAAAACGCCAAATGTGTAACCCAAAAACGTAGGCAAGTTTATTGTGTTTGCTTTGGCTATTAACTTGGCCCGCCGCTCGATTGTGTAAATATGCAGGGAAGAAGCTGTGGATTTGAAGAGAGATTCAGATTCGGAGCCACCTTTTGGACTTTTGGTTTCCAGGGCAACAGATCTAGTTTCACTCTCCATCGAAAGTGAAATTGGCAGGTGTGACTAATTTGAAATTTATAGAAACTACGTGAGGCAGGGCAAACTGAAAAAAACCCGGTGATTTATCTCTGAGGAATGCCGCTTCCTCAACACCTGTGTAAATCACAAGGACACGGATGCAAAGTGTCGGAACATAAAAAGTGAATGCCGCGATTTGTAGTAAAGTTTCTCGAACTCTGGCGAAGGGCAAACCTTGGGGAACTCAACTTCCAGGGACGCAGGAAGTTTTTGCGGGCCCATTAAAATTGGCAACTGGTTTTCGCAACGGGAAGTTGTTTCCTCCTTCTCGCCAAATGGAACGAGCAACTTTCATAATTTTAAGACAAAGGTTTACCCAACTATCGTGTGAGATTTGGCACCCGATCTGATTACGTACTTTCTCAAAAACAATTAACTTCGGGTTTGTTCTTGTGTACAGTGATATTTCCCCTGAATCCGGGAATATTTTTTTCCCCTTTCTAATATTTGTGTTTGCCCTGGCAATTAACGAGCAGCATAAAATGTGCGAAGTACTTGTTAAGTTCTCAAAACTGTTTGTTTTCGGTGGTGAGTGCAAAAAACTCTGAAGTTTTTTCTACTAGACTTTAAAGTTATTTTAGTAAGATGATCAATGAGGTGTTCGGTTGATAGTAAATCATAAAATTTTAATTTGAAGATCTATAGTTTGTATAAACTACACAGAAAATAAATTTTATATGAAATAGGGTCAAATCTACCTTATTTCATATCAAGAAAAATCAGATATGTATGTCAAATTTATGATTCAAGCATATCAACTTGATATTTTATCATAGCATGTAAAATACCAAATGTAGTATTTTTTGAACAAATAATGTATAATAAGATAAACATAATCTTTATTCATATCAAAATATTATGAAATTAACCAGGACATATAAATCTGATCTTTTGTCAGTTATTTTTTTTTTTTAATAATAATTGTTGGTTATAATCCATTCTTGACTTTTCTTGATTTGTTCTCCCCATTATACTTCCCAATCTTAAGACCTATATTAGTCATATCCTTGTGACCCCAAAGATTTCTTACCTGACTCAGCACGATCGTCACGTCATCGCTGCGCAGACGCGCTATCATAATCGAGGCAATCGATAAGATGTAATCGCCAGCCATTGTGACCTGTAAAAGCGATGAGACATGGTCAGAAACAAGCGGCCATAACAAAAGATCGGCCAACACAATAGCTGGAAGACAGTTATGTGTGGCAAGAGTTAACAGCCAACAGCAAGATGGTATAAAAACCGAAAACATATGACTAAGATAATCAAAGTGGAGGAATTACCGCTTCTTGTGAAGATTTGATTGGATTGGATTAATTATGCATTTCAATTTGAAGACATGTGTCGAAAGGCAAACTGCAGCTTTGGGATATTATTTTTGGGATCTATTATTAAATCCCATGAAGATTTTGAGGCCTTTCAAATGATGCAAGATACGAATAGATGTTGACAAAGTCAATAAACACTTCAAATCGAAATACGCAACAAATTGATGTCAAAGTCAGACTTTGGGAGCTGAATGATTGCTGTTCGGCTGTTTCGGTTGCCGAGCGTCGCTGGGCGCGTGTTTGGCTTGGTTTGTTTGGCCTGGGCAAACATCGGTGGCACCAATGATGCTGCACATATATCACAAATATCGAATATCTAATAGGACTTACCTTTTTATGGTTCCAAAGAGCATTCACGCTGGGCTTGCCGCGTCGGAAGTCCGACTGATCGATGACATCGTCGTGGACCAAACTGGCCGAGTGAACCATCTCCGAAAAGAGGGCGATCTGTCGCTGTTTGTGTACTAATTGGCTGTCAAGGCGAAAATGGGAAAATATGATTTAGAATTTGCGATTTGGGGGGAAAGAAACTGCACCTACATATATTTTATTTTGTCCGAAATGCGCACATTTCGCAAAACCACGCTAATTATTTACACTCGTCTACACAGAGGTCTTTTCTATCTTTGTTATATTTTATCATTCAAAGATAAAAATGATTTATTTTTAACATCTAAATTAAATAGATTGTCATCTAAACTATGTAAATTTATAAATTAATATTAAAAGTTAATACAAGGAGCCCCGAACTGAAATTAATTGTATGTTAAGTAATAAAAATAATTAAAGCAAAAACAGATGCAATTCGCTTTAATCACTTGCTTGTAAAATCATGATATATCTCTATAAATTTTATATGATCTCAATTTGTTTTTTTTCTTTTTACACTAATCCCGCTGTCAAATCCCCTATAAACTCACTGTGACTCGTTGTTCAGGTGATAGTTTATCGCCTTGGCCATCAACATGGTAACCATGGGTCGCAGCGCCTTTCCCTGGCCGTCGAAATAATAGCTGGCAATGGTGTCCAACTCAGGCTGGGATGTGCCCGATTTCAGCAGCTAAAATAGATAGAAATAAAATCAAGATGGAAAATTAGTCAAGCCCACTTTTTGTTGTTCCGGTTAAATTCTCTAGAATCTGGCCTAAATTAGCAAATATTTGTGTTTTGGGGAGCGAGATGAAAAAAATCCCCCGATTTCGTTTGAGCAAAAAACCATCTAATCAATGACGTTCCTCTAAAATCAGAATGAAATTTATCACAAAAATTTTTAGGTGTTTTAAATATTTGTGGTTTGACATGATTGTGGTTTTATTTGGGGTTGCTAGCTATAAAATGGGATTATTCAAATATAATGATAGTAGCATCTTTCGAAAAAGAATTCGTATTATTTTCTCAGATGATTTTTTGCCTAAGCCATATAGTTAAATTATTCATCCTTTTACTTACATATCTCACATCGTCGTAAAAGTACTTGAGGTCGTCGTCGAGTATGATGTAGGGATCGATCTGGAACTCCCTCACGGGACCAGCTGGCTGTTGTGTGTGGACCGAGCTGTGTTGTCTGATATTCGGCTGGGAGCTATGACTGCATTTGTGGGGATTTTGCTGTAAGTTAGAAGTAAAATTGGTAGAACGGTTAGCAATTTCTGGTAAATGCTGCAATTACTAACAAAGTGTGAATAACGAAGGAGCGAACAAGTCACTTAACAACTTTCAATTACTTCGACTGCCACGACTAACAAGTTTCGCCTTGCCCGCCAGCGCATTTTGTGTGTGCTTTCGGCTTAGCCGAAAAATTAATAACTGGAAAATTGCAGCAGTTTTGGGGCTGTAACCGCCCGTAAATGGCCAACTAATTGAAGTCAATTGTTGACGCCCTCGCGCGACTCTTGACCTTGTCGCCAAAATTTGAATCGTTAAAGCCACAAATCCTTTTGTTGTCGAGACAAAAGACAGCAACACGCGCTGCTAAATTGCCGGGTAAAATGTTTTGGTAAAAAAAAGGTAGTTCCATTTTCCGCAGAAAAAATAAGTAGAGCAAAAATATATTTTTAATATTATATATACGACAGATGGAATTTTTTATATATTTCTAGGAAATATTAATAAACATTATATATTTCTTAAGCCTTTTTCATGAGCTAAGCCATTACTCGCTGTTCTATACTGTGTGTGTGCTGGCAGAGTTAAGTTATAAATTGTTCCCGGTGCACCGCTTTTGATTTGATTTCCTTTTCAAAGGCATTTATAATGCCATTATGCAATGTGTTTGCTTCTTGTGCAGCCTGTCAACTAGTCAACCAATCAACCAGTCAGCCACTCAGTCTGTCAATAAAAGCCGCACACATGCTGGCATGATAACATGTAAATTCGATGTTGCCAGCTGTCGGCGAACGGAGGCAACCAACTTTTACACCATCAAATATTTGGATAGTTGGATGTTTGGACTGGGTGTGATGGCGGATTACGCGGTGACCCACTTGTGAATATGAAGATCCTGACTTGGGCCAATGACCATCATTCACCGCCCTTGGCAAGCGATCTTCATCCGCATCTTCTGCAGCATCATCATCGTTTTGGGGGACTACACGTGTGGGTTTTTGGAAGCCAAACTGGTTCGGGGGCCCACAGCATCGTAAAATACCCAAACAAATTGTTGACCATTGAAAAGAGCTTGTAATGACCCAGTTTCATATTTAATATGTGTCATAAACATCGGAATGGGCTTAGCTTTTGCTTTTGGCGAGTAGAAAGCGAACCAAAAGTTCGGGGGCTTATTACAAAATACAAAATCGACGCATCACAATTTACAAACGAAACAGCAGCAGCCGGAAGAAATCCAATTAAATTCGAGTCGAGCGGCAAGGTAACTTTCATTTTCAATATGTGCGCCAAATTAAAATTAGTTGATAATATTTGCAAAGGCCAAGAAATAAAGTAAATAAAAGAAACAAAAGAAACAATTTCATTTCTTTTTTTTTTGGGAACGTGCAGAAATGCATTTAATTGTGGCTATTTCGAGTTGGCCGCATACGTTGAATGACTTTTAAGCACTGTTAAATGGTTTTTACAGGTGGAGTGCCCACGAAAGCCGAACGGATTTTAAGTGTCTTTAAACCCCTAAACCCAATGAACTGCCTGCCGTTGGGCACTTGCTTATGTTATGGATCAAATGCTCATTATTTTGAGAGCCAGGTCAATGATCGACGCTGCATTCTGTGTGTCTAATAAATCTGAATTTTTTAAAATTTAACTAAGCAAATTTATGATGGATTTTGCGATTTTATTGCGTGCAGAAAACCAAAAAACAGAGGCTCTCAAAATAAACACATAGGAAGTAGACTCTTTCGTTGCACTTGGCTGCTGAAGACGAACCGAGGACTTTGACTCAGTTTTTACAATGTGGTCTATTGTGTAATCGTGGAAGGAAGTGAAGAAATATCTAGAAAAGTCAAGATGATACAAAGGGAAAAAGATGGGCGTTGAAGCCACAACCAAAACGGTTTGACTTGGAAATCTAGAAAAAATAATTGAAACTCAGAAATAATTCCAATTTAACGATAAATTGGAACATAAAATACCCCTTTTTTTATATCTGTTTAACATTGCTTGAATATTGGCTTAAACCCCAAGACTAAATGCAAATTGAACACTCTAAATTGTAAGTTTTTCAAGTTGTTTCAAGATTATCTCGCATCGGTTGATAAGGTTAAACCGCAATTAGCCTGGCGCAATCCAACAATCCAACACTCCGCGATATCCAGTTTAACCTCCTGGTGGCCCACATGCAATGTGGCCACAAAAGAGGAGCCGCAACAATTGGCCAGGCAACTTTCACATCGATTCAAAAGGAAATAATAATAATAATGATCTCTTCGGCAACAATGTGGCAAATAATTTACTTTTATTTGCTTAGTGGCCTCTAGCGGCGGCGCCTCTGCCAATTTTCATTTAAATACGCGCGTTTTCGGAGTCATTAATTTAATTGTGGAAAAATAGCCAAAGCAAAAAAAATGGGCGCAGTGATCAAAGAAATTGCAGCATTTAACGGAGTGTGCAAAATTCGACAAGACAAGTGCCAAAAAGAAAACAAATAAAACTGGAATTTTCGCCACAGGGCGCTCCCACGACATAATCCCCTTCAGATACCATCCAAAATCCAAAAAAACCATCCCACTCATGGTTGCCAACTGAAGATGTAGACAATTAACGGCTGAAGGTATTTAAACATTTTCGAGTGCCAGGCAAAACTCGCACTGATTGATGACTGCCTTTGATTGAAGGCCCAACAAAACGGGAATATTGCAACATTTTGCACTGCTTATTGATGGCTTTACGACTCACTTTTGTGCAGAGCCTCCTCATTGTTGTGATTTCTGCTCTTGTTTCTGCCCGGAATTCGCTTAGTTTTTTTTCTTTTTGGGCAATTTGTATGCCGCATGGCTAAGGTATCATAAGCCATTTTTATTCAATATGGCAATATGCGAAACTCGACAATTGCCATTGCATGTTGCTATTTTTATGGAGGCCGACTTTGAGTACGAAAACTGTTAGCACCTGCGATTTAAAAACCAAACATGCTAAAAATTTTTCAATTATAGTAATCAAGTTAACAAATTTATGCCTACGCCGCGTGGCGAACAGAACATTTAAGTTGTTTACTAATTTAGAGATTTTAATTTCGTCGACCTTAAGGACATATATTTGTTAAAAGTTTAATTTATAAAGTGACTAATTAGATAGATATTTATGAGGAGACCAAGACCAGCAAAGAACCAAATTTTTTAAAAATTAAAAAATTTTGAAATGGATTTTAAGGAGTTTTTGTTCTTGACTTTTTAAGAAAACTACACCCAGAAAAAAAAAAGACCTAAAATGTCAAAAAATGGCCTAGAATTTAGGTAAAATTGGCCTAAAACTGGAGCTAAGTCCTTGAATGGCCTAAAATTTAGGATACCATGACCTAAAATGTTAGGCCATTAAAGGCCTAAAATGAGGGTAATTTTTGGCCTAGATTTTAGGTAATTGGCTGCCTAAAAATATATGAGAAAACCCCTATCCAAAATTTTAGGCTTTCTTTGGCCTAAAAATATGTACTGAAAAATTTATAATATTATAAAGTAAATACAGAAAAGTTTATAGCTAACTCGAGGTCAATGTCGGGCTTAGTCTTCAAGAAGTCGTCATTATGCCAACAAAAGGAGCGAGGAGGCTTCACAGTTCAGCAGTGAAATCGCTGTCTTATTCAACGATCGAAGTGGGTTACCATGCAAGCCGCGCTGTAACTGGTTGGGAATTATAGCGTCGCCAAAACGGTATCAGAGTTCCGTGCAAATTTATTTAGGTAAAAGGCATTAATTTTAAGGCCCACGCTGACCTAAAATATTAGGCTTTACGGGACCTAAATAGTAGGGCAAATATACCAAAAATTTAAATTTTTAGGCAGTACATGACCTAAAAAGGAACTTTTAGTCCATTTAAAATGTTTTAGGCTATGCATGACCTAAAATGTTGTCCATCATTTTTCTGGGTGTATTACATTGAAATTTTAAATTTTTTAAAATATTTGTTTTTTTGATAAAATACTTCTCCGACCTTGTAGAAACTCAGCAAAACCCTGCTGCGACAATCGAATCATTTACCAAAAATTTTAATTGCTCCTTTCTTCTTATTTCTGGCTGGTTAAAAAAGAAATACCGCCGCCTTGATCGAACATGACAGGCCTTTGCTTTGGTAGCGGAAGCGGCCAAACGCAAGGTATTGGCCAAAAGCGGACACAGAGAGACATGGCCAAGAAAGTGAGCAACTGAGGGCCGCGAAGACGAGGCTTTGGACTTACTTTCCCTTTTTGTCATCGCCGCATGTATTGCGGTTGTATTGCCATGGCTGACATAACCCAAACTCGGTTGCTTGGTAAGCAAAAGCAAAAGCAAAGGCAAGCGATTGGCTTTGTAATTTCTCCGTTCGATTTTAACCGCGGGAGCTTCTTCATTAGCCAAGTTCGCTGGCAAGTGGTTAACATGCGTGTTAACAACCCAGTCAGTCGCACCGCAGGCATCCCAAAACTCAAACTCAAGTGAGTGTGAATGCCGAAGTGGCCCGAGTGTTTGCCTCCAAACTGGGCAATTTGTATTTGACAAATTGTCCATTGCGGCATTGAGAACGCTTCTGAAAATTCCTCTTCGACAGCAGCAGAAGCTCGAGTGGATAGCATAATCTATTGACATTATTTGCTAATGTCTCAATCGCAAACGTATGCTATAATGCGTCACGGTTTCATTGCGATCGCAATAAGGCTCATCAGAAACTATGACAACTGCAATCGATTGACCAATTGAGGTCTGCAAATCATCGGCTGAAATTTTAAATGGCTGCCCACAAAGTGGGACATATATGGGAAATCCCAAGAGGTACTTCATTATGTGGGGTTTAATGGATTTAAGATTTTGTAAAACATTTTGTAGAGTTTGAGTTCTTGTTTCTATATAAACAAGAAAGGAAGCTAGCTTCGGCCAGCCGAAGCTTATATACCCTTGCAGATCATTCCTATTAATTTACAAATCGCAAAAATGTTCAATTTTCTAATATTTCTCATTAATTTTCCG